CCAGAAGCCGTCCGCATCGAACAAGGCCGCCCCGCCCCCTGTTGCGCCTTCGCCTTCGCCCTCGGCCCAGAAGCCGTCCTCATCAAACAAGGCCGCCCCGCCCCCGGCTGCACCCTCGCCATCACCCGTGATGGGCGTGGCTCAACCCGAGGAAGCGGCCCCGACAGTGAAGGCTGGTGCCAAAGCGCGTGGTACTGGACAGAAAGGCAAGTGCTCCAGATGCGTGCCAGGCGGCCTTTAGTGTTGTCATAGCTTATGCATTCGCTGTGCGACACCGGTACCTCTTGCGGCTGTTGATTTTTATCTCGCGCTACTCTGCAACCGACGCCATCTACCTGCGTTGGTTGCAGAATGGTCGAACATCGATTACCGGCGCGAAATCGACGCCCAAAACTGCAAGAGTGGCATGCTGCAGCGGTACCCGTGGGTGGTCCGCCTGGACGCTACCTGTACATACCGGTGCAGCATTTGCTTTGAGCAGAAGAAGAACAACGTCTCCACTAAACCCGACGGAGCTCACGTAAGTGACTTGTGGGATCGGGGTACTCGTGCACGGGGTGTGCAGGTGATGATGGGCGCAAGTCTCGTACCGAGCAAATGCAGTGATACCGCCGGGAGTTTTACTCGTTTTTGCATCTCTGCCCTTTAGGTTCTCCTCAACTCCGAACTTCAGCGCCACCAGGCTTCCGAGAAGCATAAGACCGCCGAGTTGGAGCAGGAGGCTGCGACCAAGTCTGTAATCCAACAATCCCTGGCCGCCATGTCCGCCAAGGCCCAGGCGGAAGCCGGGCCTCTGGAGGCCAAACTCATGCGCTGCGCTTTCACTACCTTCAAGAATAACCAGGTCCGCTCCGTGCGTAGGGGTGCGTGGGTTGGCTGGGGAGTACGTTCACCGCTAGTTATTGCGTGTCCATCCTATCCTGTTGGCCCCTTGCCTCTGCGCCATCCTGCAGTCGGTGAGCACCTACGTGGACAACGCGGTCTTGATGGCTGCTTGCGACGGTGCCAGCGTGAAGGTCGCGGGCCCTTACCAGAGTCGGCCGGCGGGCATGGAGATGCTCGACTGCCTTTCGGAGGTACGAACTAGCATGTGGGGCTTTGTACCCAACCTTCTGCGGCCGTGAGGGGTGCGAGGGCAGCAATTTTAGGGAACCATTGCACCACTTTGTGTGTGTGTGGGAGCGGGTTTAGTGCCCATACAGTCTTTCCTATGGCGCCATGCATCGTGTCGTAGCCTGTGTTTTACATGCGGCCATGACAGAACTGCCTGGTCCCTGTCCTTCCTTGCGTTCTGTCTATGCCTCAGGTGATCGACGAGAAGGAGCGGGAGGCCATCCAGAAGTCTGACTTCATAGCCCTCACTATTGACGAATCCACCGACCGGACAATCAAGCACAACCTCGCCATGTACGTATCGTACATCGATGACAACGGCAACGTCCTCAACAGGTACCGGAAGCTGGAGGAAATCAAGGGCAGCGCCAATGCAAAGGCACTCTTCGACCTGGTGAAGAAGGCCCTGGAGGTGTGATTCGGATAGGATTGTTGTTTGGTGTGGGCGCGGGTGGAGGATAGAGCAAGTGTATGCGAAGAGACCTCGCTGTCCTTCCGCATACGAGACGGGCTCCATCTGTTACTTTACCGTTCACGGGCTCCTGCCTATACGTGGATTAACCCCGGAGTGGCAGAGCCGTGATGACACGGTATCCGTTTAGCAATAAACTGCCCGCCCTGACCTCAAACCTCGTCTAGGTTGCCTCGTTTGATGTGTACTCTCCGCTGGTCTGTTAAACCCTTCCCAGGATGATGGCATCGACATGAAGAAGATCGTCGGCTTCACCAGTGATGGGGCCAGCGTTATGGTCGGGGAGCACAAGGGTGTTGCGGCCCTCCTGAAGAAGGAGTGCCCCGGCGTGCTGTCACTCCACTGTGCCGCCCACAAGCTGGCGCTTTCCTGCGCGGACCTTTTCAAGGGCGACGAAGAGCTGCTGCTGCTGGATGGGATGATCTCTAAGATCTACGGCTACTTCAAGGTCTCCCCGTTGCGCAGGGAGGACCTGCGGTCCCTGCAGGAGCTGCTCAAGGCCAAGGAGTACAAGCTCCTGAAGCCACACGCGTAAGTTGGGGATGGATGGAGGGTAGAGCGGGTCGGATGACAGGGGGGCCGGGGCTCGGGGGGAGGGTGAAGCTGATCCGGGAAAGGAAGAGCCAGTCAGGGACAGGGTGGAGCCGAGCGAGGAAGGGGCGGATGGAGGCAGGGGAGGGTGAAGCCAGGGGGCACTGCACGGCGTACATGGTAGAAAGCTCTGTTTAGGTTTCAACTCTTCGATGGCGAACCTGAATGCAGGGTGCGGTGGCTCTCCCGTGCTCGCTGCATTCGCCGGCTCAAGGAGCTGTATCCGGTCCTGCTGGAGTACTTCAAGCAGGAGACCGGCCCCAATGCTGAAGCCATCTACAGCTGGCTCAAGTGAGTATGCTGTGGCTGTGCAAGGTGTTGGTCGTACTGCAAGGTCTCATGGAAACTGTCCCATCGTATTGGCTAGGAGACATGCCTGATAAGGTTGCCCTTGCTGGTATTCATAACCTCAAGTGTTCGTGCCCCTGCCATGTCTGTTCCATGCCATTCCTGCCGATAGGAACGCCCACAACCTCATCTTGACGTACATTTTGGACGAGATCCTGGACGTCACCGCAAGGCTTAGCTGCTGCTTCCAGTCGAGCGACTTGGCGCTCGTGGACGTGAACACATGGCTCGAGGGTGAGCTCAAGCTCCTCGAGATGAAGTTCACGTACCACAAGATCAGCGGTAAGGGCAACTTGCCGCCGGAGTTCAGCAAGGCAATCAACGAGCTCCTGGCGTCGTTAAAAGAGTCGGGTGGGCGGTGGCACGGGCATGACCTGCACCTGAGCGTGCAGGGAACCGATGAGGGGGCTGTATCGTGGGCTACGTTCGGGGCCGAGCTGTTCCGGAAAAAGAAGTACATCAGCACGTTGTGCACCGATTTGATTGCCCTGATCAGGGAGCGGTTCCCCAAGGAGGCCCTGGGGTTGGCCGCCCATTTCCGGATATTGAGCCCGGAGGAGTTGGCGGGCGTGGGCGACGACGAGATTGAGGAGTACGGTTTGGAGGACATTAAGACGCTCGGAGAGTGGTATACCGGGCGAATTGGGCATCTCCGTGAGCAGTGGATTACTCGGGCGGTTCACAAGTTGGTCCAGGCAGCAAAGAAAGCAAAAAAGAAAGCGGAGGAGAAGGATTTGCCATTGCTGGCACGGGAGTTCTATAAGAAGGAGAGAGGGTGGCTGAAGGCGGGGGCGCCTGAGGTGTGGAAGCTTATCCAGATCATGCTGGTTATGCAGCCGGCCAGTGCTGAGGTGGAGCGGGGTTTCAGCGCCATGAACGACATCAAGTCGTCCGAGCGCAACCTGCTAGACATCAGCACCCTGGATAAGTTGATGCGTGTCCGGCTGTGCGGTCCGGAGATCCGGATTCAGCACCAGGCAGCCGACCGCCCGCCCTATGAGGAGTTTGATGCATGTATCCTACCGCTGGCGTTGAAGCACTGGCACTCGAAAAAGCGCTGCCCGGAGCGGAGCTGCCATGGCCCCCGGCCCAAGCGCGTGAAGGGGTAGTTCGGGGGTGGTTTGGGCTTTGGGGCATTGGGGGTTTTCCCTTTCTTTGACAACTTGATACATTGGACCCGGACTTTGACCTGACCATTTGACTATACATGCGACGGCGTACACGCGCACTGCATGACGGTTGGCGCCAGCAAGCGCGGATTTGACGCCTATCGTACTGCACAGACATTAACGACGCAGGGGGCCATGTAACGGTTTGCCGACACCCGAGGGATATTTTTATCTCTCGGGTAGATAAAATTTTGTTTGCAGCCGGCCGAATATCTCACAGATACTTTCGAGCCTTCCCAGCCAAAAAAAATCTCGTCAGCCATAGAAGTTTTGGCCCGTTGGGAGCAAAGAAAATCTGAGCCCGTAGATACTCCCGTCAAGGAAGATAGCAACCCTGAGGTGGACCACTTAGGCTCCGGTGCTGTCATTATCGATGGGATTGGCAAGGCCAGCCAGGAGCACCTTGGTGCGTGCGTGAAGCACTTCCGGCCATTACATCACCTGCCGCCCACGGACCCCGCCACGGAAGTGCTGGCCGGGCGTCCCGCCGCCGCCGTCGGCGACCCCTGCCAGCACCCACAGCCTGGCTGCCGCCCGGCCTACCATTTCCTCGCCCAGCTGGAGCGCGACCTCACCTTAAACCCCTCCGCACCGAACGCAGCAGCACCGCAGCAGGGGGAGTCGGGCACTCGGGCTCAGACAGCACCGAGGATGAGGAGGCGCATGGGCATGCAGAAGCACAGCAGCCACCTGCTGCCACCCAGCCGCAGCAGTCCCCAACCCCACAGCGGCATCCATGTTCGCAGGTGGCCCTGTCAGTGAAGCACGCGTATTGCACCACAGTTGCTGAGCGCTTGGTGTCCCTCCTTCTCCCCCATTGAGATGGCATGCCACAATCTGCAGCACCTCATCACGATGGCCATGCCATCGTGCGTGTCTTAAGCCATCTGCACCCCCGCCTTTATTTCCGGTGGGCTTTCCGGACTGCACACCACATACAGCTAGCATCAATTTGGCCATATATAGTTACACTTTTGCACTTGTCGGGTATCTGGACAGCTCAGTATGTCTGAGATGTTGTCAGTTGGCTTTCGGTTGAAGGTTCCAACTGCTCCAGGGGAGTCGTCATCGTATAGTGGTCAGTATCCCCGCCTGTCAACAGATCACCGCCCGCGGGAGGCCGGGGTTCGATTCCCCGTGACGGCGTGTTGCCTTTTTGCCTGAGTTGTATTGTGCCTGCTCAATGTTGCTACACAGTCTATCTAGGTCTCACTCTATTCATTAGCAGCAAAGGTTTTTAGCGCGGATGATTAGATGCAACGCTGGCAACAACGTAGGAAGACCTCGTGTCTCATGTAGGGTATTGTGCGCCATTAGTCTAGTAGCAGGATACTCGCCTCCCACGCGAGCGGGCCCGGGTGCAAATCCCGGATGGCGCAGAATACTCTTTGCAATTTGTTGAGGACAATTTGGAATACTTGTCTCGCACCATACGACCTCAGCTCAGGTCGGCGTTATTCCTTGCCCGCAACACAAGAGCAAGAAGATAGAGATGAAGAACTTCATTCGTTGCCAACCTATCGTGGCTGCCTTGGGCGGCGGGGTTGCTAGTTTCTACCGTGTCGTCACCACTCCACCCATCGATGTGCTGGTGCCCCTGCCCACCCCCTGCCCACCCCGCTATATATCCCAGTCTCCATCCTCCTCCATTCCCCCTCACTTCCCCCCTGCTGCCTGCTGCTGCTGCCTCTGCTGCCGCCCTCATCACTGCCCTGACCTCCGCTCATGACCGCGCGGCGGCCCTGCTTTCACGGGCTTTTGGATGGTCATCCTGGCTAGGGCTGGTGCTGCGGTGCATGGCTGCCTGACAGTAAATATGTAGCGCACACTCCAAACCACATTATTTAATTGTGCAACTCTGCCTGGATTTCGTGTTCATAATTACTTGATCATGCACAAAAACATCTCGATGAGGGTACGCACGGTACGTAACAGCGATCAGGCCTTGAGCCCACCTGACCGACCGTACCATACGTATTGCACCACAGTTGCTGAGCGCTTGGTGTCCCTCCTTCTCCCCCATTGAGATGGCATGCCACAATCTGCAGCACCTCATCACGATGGCCATGCCATCGTGCGTGTCTTAAGCCATCTGCACCCCCGCCTTTATTTCCGGTGGGCTTTCCGGACTGCACACCACATACAGCTAGCATCAATTTGGCCATATATAGTTACACTTTTGCACTTGTCGGGTATCTGGACAGCTCAGTATGTCTGAGATGTTGTCAGTTGGCTTTCGGTTGAAGGTTCCAACTGCTCCAGGGGAGTCGTCATCGTATAGTGGTCAGTATCCCCGCCTGTCAACAGATCACCGCCCGCGGGAGGCCGGGGTTCGATTCCCCCTGACGGCGTGTTACCTTTTTGCCTGAGTTGTATTGTGCCTGCTCAATGTTGCTACACAGTCTATCTAGGTCTCACTCTATTCATTAGCAGCAAAGGTTTTTAGCGCGGATGATTAGATGCAACGCTGGCAACAACGTAGGAAGACCTCGTGTCTCATGTAGGGTATTGTGCGCCATTAGTCTAGTAGCAGGATACTCGCCTCCCACGCGAGCGGGCCCGGGTGCAAATCGCGGATGGCGCAGAATAATCTTTGCAACTTGTTGAGGACAATTTGGAATACTTGTCTCGCACCATACGACCTCAGCTCAGGTCGGCGTTATTCCTTGCCCGCAACACAAGAGCAAGAAGATAGAGATGAAGAACTTCATTCGTTGCCAACCTATCGTGGCTGCCTTGGGCGGCGGGGTTGCTAGTTTCTACCGTGTCGTCACCACTCCACCCATCGATGTGCTGGTGCCCCTGCCCACCCCCTGCCCACCCCGCTGCCCACCCCGCTGCATCCCCTTCCCCTTTCCCCCACCCCGTGGCCTCTCCCCGTCTGGTTTCCCTCCTCCCGGCCCCCCGATTCCCACGTCGCGTCGCCTCTGCCACCTCCCCTCCTGCCGCCCTTTTTCCCCTCTCTTCGCCTCCGCTCTCGTCCCCTACCCCGCGATCCGTTCCGCTTGCATTCTGTTGTCCCTTTGCCGCTCTCCTTGCCTTGTCCCCTTGCCGTTCCCTCTGCCTTTCTCTTTCCCTTTGCCCTTTCTCCCATGCCCTTCGCCGCCTGCCGTCGTACTTTTTTGCCCTTCCGTATCCCATCTTATTCGCCCAGCTCTCCCATCCCGCCCTCTTTTGCGCCGCGTCGCCGCCCCAGCTCGTTTGTGGGTTTCTGAGTGTTTTTGCTTTGCCTGCCTGTTCGCTCCTTGCCTCGCTCCCATTGCCGCTCCCCATTGCCGTTACTAACGCCCTTCCTTCGCTTCTTCCCGATTCCTTTCTCCACTGAGCGCAGGTGAGTAAGCCATCGTCCCTTTTGTGCTGTCCGGGCTGTGTGTCTCTGTTGGTCTTGTGCTGTCGTGTGCCAGTCCGTTTGGGGTTGGTTGGCGGCGACGCGGCCGCGCGCTTTTCTCTGCTGGCGATATCAGGTAATCATCAGGTAATATTCCAGGTAACTGCGTTGCATTCCCTCGCCCCGGGCCGTTCTAATTACCCCCCATTTTTTAGGCGGGTGTCCCGCTCCCCTATGGGAGCGACGACACGGCGCTAACTTCCTTCGGGAAGGCTTTTTTCTTTTTATTGTCTGTCTGTGCCTGTGGAGGTCTGCGGGTTCCCACCCCTGGCTGAAGCGACCCGTCCGTGTGGTCTGCGTCGTCCGCGTGTACTGCAGCCTTTTGGTGCGGCTGGCTTTTTATGGGGTCAGTCTCTTCTTCTTCTTGTTCTTTCGTGTGGGAACGTTCATGCCCAGCCGCGCCTACACCGACGACCTCCCCGCGGATGTCGACGCAATCGCCCATCGCGCGGCACAGCTGCGCGACGCCGCCGCTACAACGAAGCAGTGGCCGACACTCAAGAAGCGTATTCAACGTCTACTTCGTCCTGTTCCTGGCGCTCTCCCTCCCGTCCTCCAGCTCCTCCTCGACCTACGCCGACAATTCATCGGCGCCTCGGAGCATATTGCACTCAGCCACGACACCGACCCCACACGGGTCATTTATGCGATCTTCTGGCTCCCTACACAACGCGAACGTCAGCGACCGGGGCACCGTGTCCGTATCTACGTTGGCCAAACGCGCGGCTCGTGCTGGGAGCGCCTCCGCCGCCACCTCTCCACCGCTGCTCGCACCGCCGTTACCTATTCGACTGGCCCCGAATTTCACCAATACCTCTGGGCTCGCGGCACCACTCGCCTCTTTCTCCTCCCCCTTCAATATGTCGTCGGCGCCTCCGGTCGTCGTTTTCGTCAGGAAGCCGCCCAGCTGGAAATGGTCTGGGCCCAGCGCCTCGGTACCCTTCGTCCCGCCTCCCAACGGGGCCTCAACACTCTCTTCGAATCCCGCCACCTCGCGACCGACCTCGCCGCCGTCCCCTTCGACCTCAGCCCCACCCCGCCTGCTGGTCTGGAACACCGCAAGCGCTGGTTTGCCTGTCGTGATGCCCGCCGCCGTCTTCTTCACCTCCAAGACCTCTGGCAAGACCACGGCTCCATTCCTGTCGCCCACTTCCGCAACTTCCACTCCCGTACCCTCCACATCCTCCACTCCTACATCACCCACTACACTCCTGCCAGCCTGGGCATCCTCCCCGAGTTCCAGTCCGCTCTCGTCCTCCCTCTCACCACCGCCCTTGACCAACGTCACCGACGCGTTGGTGCACCCGATCTCAACGCCAAGCTTTGGATTCCCCACCCTCTCCGCCAACTCCTCCCTATGGCAGCTCTCCACCACATCCTCGACGACCCCGTCGTCGCGTCCGAACTCCCCCTCGGCACCCCCCACCCCCACCTTCACTACACCGCCGGCGTTCCTCTCCACGTGCTCTTCACCAACTATCCACACTTCGCTCGCTCCCTTACCCACGCCGAGTATACCGCCCTGGCCGCCGTCCCCGACGCGGACTGCCCCTGCCGTCGCTTCGCCGCCCACATCCCTGACGGCATGTCCCACGTTGTGTCCACGGAGCCAACCCTCATCCTCCCCGCCCGCCTTCACCCGTTCTGGAACAAGGGAGCTCGCTACCGCGCCCACCGCCCACCCCCACCCCTGGCCGACGTCCTCAACGACCTCCGCACCCACGCCCACACCTACACCGGCCACCTTGCCCGTCGCCTCGGCCGCCCCGCCTCGGACTTTTCCGGCTGGGTCACCACCTTCCTTACCGCCGTCGCCGCCGCCATCGACGCCCATCGGCCCACCCATCAATTCTACTGGCCTGTCCTCTCGGCTCGCGACCTCGCCGACTTCCGCCATGCCACTCGGGACTTCATCGTCACCGTCACCGACAAAAGCTCTGCCACCCTCCAGCTCGTTTGCAAGAAATATTACGCCGAAAAGTGCATGCGCGACCTCCATCTCCACGACACCTTCGCCGTCCCACCCCCACCCCCACCCGCACCGGCCTCCGCCACCCCCAGCCCCTCCCCTCCACCGCCCCCTGTCGACCCCCCTGCCGCAGCCCCCCTCCACCCTGCCGCCGCCGCCGCCGCTCCCCCTGCTGCCGCCCCGCCTCCCCCTCCCCCGCCCCCTCCACCGCCCGCTCCCGCGCCGCCCAACCCTGCCCCTCCCGTCTACTACGAGCCCACCAACCCCGACGTCATGCAGCAGCACTACGCGACCGAGACCGCTCGCCTCGCTCCCTGGCACCTGTCCTACGACACCCTTTTACGCCCCGCCTACTACGCCGGCACCCTCAAGATGCACAAACGCCCTCCCTCCATGCGCTACCTCGCCTGCTCCCACGCCTGCCCTGCCACCGCTATTAGCGATCTCGTCACCGCCATCCTCCGAGCCGCTGTTCCCCAATTTGAGACCCTCTGGCGCGCTAACCTTCCCAACTTCGACCCCTGGCTCTGCTTCTCCTCCAACGCCGTCTCCCATCTCATCGCCGCCTACAACGCCCGCGCATACTGCGACCGCACCGCTACGCCCCCACAAGCCTGGGACTTTGAACGCCTCTACACCAACCTCCCCCACAACCTCCTCCGCTCCACCCTGCACGACCTCCTGGCCGCCAGCCTCGCCGCCACCCCCTTCATCCGTGTTACTACTCGGGACCCTCCACCCCACAAACCCAACACCAAGCCCACCCACACCGTCACCTTCCATTCCACCAGTCCCGGTCGTAACTACAGTCGTCGGGACAACTCCACTACCCGCGTCTTCACGCTCGCCGATTTCGACATGGTCCTCGACTCCCTCCTTTCTTCCACCTTCATTGCGTTCGGCCCCGCCCTTGTCCGCCAGATCCGAGGCATCCCCATGGGCATCTCCGCCGCCCCCTTCATCGCTAACCTCTTCCTTGCGTGGTATGAATACACCTTCCTGGCACAGCGTAACCTCCCCAC